ACACATCATTTCTCCTTTTTACTCTCATTCTCTCATGAGTGTACCATGGACTTTTCCAGACTTTTCTTGACATACGATATCTTCATCACTGTGATAACTAACTAGTGGGATGTGTGCGTGTGCATCTCAGTTGTAACCCGTGGAAATAAAGGCTCTTTGTATTCTTCAATCATTTTTTATTTCATTTAATTAATTTATTTATTTTACCTATATAGCAGTGTTCCCTCCCATTTCCTCCCCTCCCATCCCTGGTAACCAACAAAGAAAGTTTCATTCCATATATAAATGTTTCCTTGACATTTTACAATAATGAACTCTAATACAATATTTGTCCTCCTGTGATTGACTTATTTCACTCAGCATAATGTCCTCCTGGAGCTCTGGTAGCATAGTGGCTAAGACACTTGCCTGCTAACCAGACGGCTGGCGGTTCAAACCCACCAGCCACTCCTCGGAAGGAAGGTTGGGCAATCCTACTTCCGTAGTGATACTGCCTTGGAAACCCAAGAAGGGGTTGCTATGAGTCGGGGCCGACTCGACGGCACATAACAACAACAACAACAACAATGTCCTCCAAGTTCATCCACATTATGTGGTGGTTTGTAGATTCTACAATATTCTGTAGTGTTGCATAGTATTCCATTGTGCATATATATCATAGTTTGCTTATCCAGTCTTCTGTTGATGGGTACCTAGGTTGTTTCCATCTTTTTGCTATTGTAAATAGTGCTGCGGTGAACATTGGTGTGCATATATCTGTCCTTGCCCTGGCTCTCACTTCTTTAGGATATATAACTAATAATGGGATTGCTGGATCAAATGTTGTTGTTGTTGTTGTTAGGTGCTATCAAGTCATCTCTGACTCATAGCGACCCTATACACAGCAGAACGAAACACGGCCTGGTCCTGTGCCAGCCTCACAATGCTTGCTATACCTCAGGCCATTGTTGCAGCCACTGTGTCAGTTCATCTCATTGAGGGCCCTCACCTTCTTCATTGACCCTCCACTTTACCAAGCATGATATCCTTCTCCAGGGAATGGTTCCTCCTAATAACATGACCAAAGTAGGTGAGATGAAGTCTGGCCATTCTTACTTCCAAGGAGGATTCCAGCTGTACTTCTTAGAGGACAGATCTGTTAGTCTTTTCAGCAGCCCATGGTACTCTTCTCATTCTTCTCCAACACCACAACTCAAAAGCATCAACTCTTCTTCAGTCTTCCTTATTCATTGTCCAGCTCTCACTTGCATAAGAGGTGATTGAAAATACCATGGTGTGGGTTAGGCGCACCTTAGTGTTCAAGGAGACACTAAGAGGTCTTTGAAAGATATCTTTTGTAGCAGATTTGCCCAATGTAGTATGTAGTCTGATGTCTTGACTGCTGCTTCCATTGGTGTTGATTGTAGAACCAATTACTATGAAATCCTTGACAACTTCAGTCATTTCTCCTTCCATTGTGAAGCTGTTTATTGGACCAGTTGTGAGGATTTTTGTTTTCTTTGTATTGAAATGTAATCCATACTTCAGACTATAGTCTTTAATCATCATCAATAAGTGCTTCCAGTCATCCTCACTTTCAGCAAGCATAGTTATGTCATTTGTGTATCACAGGTTGTTAATGAGTCTTCCTCCAATCCTTATGCCACATTCTTCTTCATATAATGCAGCTTCTCAGATTATTTGCTCAGCATACAAGTTGAATTAAAAAAAACTCACTGCCATCGAGTTGGATCTGACTCATAGCAACCCCTCCTTGGGTTTCCAAGGCAGTATCACTACGGAAGTAGAAATCCCAGTCTTCCTTCTGAGGAGTGGCTGGTGGGTTTGAACCACCAGCCTTCTGTTTAGCAGTCAAATGCCTTAGGCACTATGCCACCAGAGTTCCTGTACAAGTTGAATTAAGTATGGTGAAAGGATACAACCCTGATTCCCTTCTTGATTTCAAACCATGCAGTATCCCCTTGTTCTATTCAAACAACAACCTCCTGGTCTATGTACAGGTTCCTCATGAGTATAATCAAGTACTCTGGAATTCCCATTCTTTTCAATGTTATCCATAATATGTTATGAACCACACAATTGAGTGCTTTTGCATAGTCAATATAACATAAGTAAACATTTTTCTGGTATTCTTTGCTTTAAGCTAAGATCCATCTGACATCAGCAATGATATCCCTTGTTCCATGTCCTCTTCTGAATCCAGCTTGCATTTCTGGAAGCTGTCAGTATACTGCGGCAACCATTTTTGAATTATCTTCAGTAAGATTTACTTGCATGTGATATTAATGATATTGTTTGACAATTTCCACATTCCGTGGGATCACCTTTCTTTGGAATGGGTACAAATATGTATCTTTTCCAATCAGTTGGCCAGGTAGCTGTCTTCCAAATCTCTTGGCATAGCCAAGTGAGTGCCTCCAGCATGGCATCTGTTTGTTGATACATCTCAGTGGGTATTCTGTCAATTCCTGGAGCCTTGTTCTTCACCAGTTCTTTCAGTGCAGCCTTGACTTCTTCCTTCAACAGCATCGGTTCTTGATCATATGCCACCTCCTGAAATGGATGAACATCAACCAGTTCTTTTTGGTACAGTGACTCTGTATATTCCTTCCATCTTCTTTTGATGTTTCCTCTATCAGTCAATATTTTGCCCATAGAATCTTTCAATATTGCAACACGAGGCTTTAATTTTTTCTTCCATTCTTTCAGCTTGAGAAATGCCAAGCATGTTCTTCCCTCTTGGTTTTCTAACTCCAAGTCTTTGCACATTTCTTTATAATAATTGGCTTTGTCTTCTCAAGCTGCTCTTTGAAATCTTCCATTCAGCTCTTTTTTTCTTGTCATTTCTTTCATTTGCTTTAGCTATTCTCTGTTCAAGGACAAGTTTCAGAGTCTCTCCTGACATCCATTTTGGTCTGTCCTTTCTTTCTTGTCTTTTTAATGACCTCTCGCTTTCTTCATCAATGATGTTCTTGATGTCATCCCACAATTCCACTGGTTTTCAGTCATTGGTGTTCCATGCATCAAATCTATCCTTTAGGTGGTCTCTAAATTCAGGAAAGATATTATCAAGGTCATACTTTGCCTCTTATGGACTTGTTTTAATTGTCTTCAACTTCCACTTGAGCTTGCATATGAGCAGTTGATGGTGTGTTCCACAATCAGCTCCTGGCCTTGTCTTGGCTGAAGACATTGAACTTCTCCATTGCCTCTTGCCACAGATGGAGTTAGTCTGATTCCTGTGTAACTCAGTCTAGTAAAGTCCACATGTATAGCTGCTGTTTGTATTGTTGAATAAAGGTATTTGCAATGAATAAGTCATTGGTCTTACAAAATTCTATCATGTGATCTCCAGTCTTATTTCTATCACCAAGGCCATATTTTCTAACTACCAGTGAATTCTTCCTTGTTCCCAGCTTTTGCATTCCAATCACCAGTGATAATCAACACATCTTGATTTCATGTTTGGTCAATTACAGACTGCAGAACTTGTAGAAATCTTCAATTTCCTCATCTTTGGCTTTGGTGGTTGGTGCATAGATTTGAATAATAGTAGTATTAATTGCTCTTCTTTGTAGGCATATAGATATTATCCTATCAGTAGCAACATTTTACCTCAGGACAGATCTTGAAACAGTCTTTGTGACAATGAATGCCACACCATTCCTCTTCAATTTGTCTTTCCTGGCATAGTAGATAATGTGGTTGTCTGATTCAAAATGGCCATAGCCAGTCCATTTCAGCACACTAATGCCTAGGATATCGATCTTTATGCATTCCATTTCATTTTTGACAACTTCCAGTTTTCCTAGATTCATACTTCATACATTCCATCTTCTGATTATTAATGGATGTTTGCAGCTGTTTCTACTCATTTTGAGTCGTGCCACATCAGCAATGGAGGCCCCAAAAGCTTTACTCCATCCATATCTCTACCTTGAGGGGTCAGCTCTTCCCCAGTCATATTTTGAGTGCCTTCCCCCATGTGATGGGCTTGTCTTCTGGCACTCTATTGGACAATATTTCAGGGCTACTCTTAAAATTTTCCAGTAATATATCAGACAGTGTTTCACTGCTATTTATAAGGCTTTCATCGGCCAATTCTTTGAGAAGTGGATGGCCTCTTCCTTTTTCCAAGTCTGTCTGTTTTGTCAGCTCTGCTGAAACCTGTCCACCATGGGTAACCCTGCTGGCATTTTGGAACACTGGTAGCATAGCCTCCAGCCTCATAGCAACATGCAAGCCACCACAGGATTGACAAACTGACAGAAAGTTCATCTTCTTTAGTTATTCCTAACTACTCTGCTCACTTCAAAGCCATGTGCCCACCTATCTGGGGCCCAGCTTTAAATAAAGCTATCCCAAAAACTCCGAGCCATGTGCCCGCCTATCCAGGGCCCAGCCTTAAATAAAGCTGCTTCAGAACTCCTGAGCTGCACTGCTGGATCAAATGGTAGTTCTAATTCCAGCTTTTTAAGGAATCACCATACTGCTTTCCCCAGTGGTTGTATCATTTTACAACCCCAACAGCAGTGTATGAAAATCCCAATCTCTCCACATCCTCACCAGCATTTGTTATTTTCTGTCTCATTGAACTTTGCTATTAGTGCTGGGGCAAGATGGTATCTCATTGTTTTGATTTGCATCACTCTAATGGCTAATGATCATGAACATTTCTTTATGTGTTTGTTGACTGTCTGAATACCCTCTTTGGTGAAGTGTCTATTCATGTCTTCTGCCCATTTTTTAGTTGGATTGTTTACCTTTTTGTTGTTGAGGTGTAGGAGTTTTCTATAAATCTTAGAGATAAGTCCCTTGTCAGATATGTCGTTGCCAAATATTTTTTTCCCAATCTGTAGGTTCTCTTTTGACTCTTTTGGAGAAGTCTTTGGAAGCATGTAAAAATTTAATTGTATTTTTCAATCATTTTTAAGAGTGTAAAGGGGTACAGAGACAAAAAAAAAAAAAAAAAAAAAGTTCTAGAGCCACTGGGGTAAGGCATGCTGGTCAGCCAAGATCAAAATGATTGCAAACAGAAAGACCTGTAAGAAAGGTCTAGAAGCAGACAGTAAACATTTGTTCTTTTTTTCTTTTTTGCAGGAAAAACTGTATAGAAAATCTAATGGATGAAGATGAGAAGGACAGGGCAAAGAGGTAAGAAGGAGCCATCCTCCCCTACCTTAACAGCATTCTGTGCATGTCTGTTAAACTGATTCTTGATTATTCTTACTCAGTGTCCATAAGAGAACCAGCAAGACAGTCAGCTGTGGGACATTCTCTAGGTACGCACTGTCCTTGAATTATTACAGTGCCCTGTTAGAAAATTTTAGACCACCTCCCTCCATTTTGTTCCTTACGTTTACTCTGTTGACTCCAGACTTCTTTCAGAGGCCCCAGACTACTGCTGTCCCAGGAAAGACATGCCTGACAAAGAAAACAGATTGGAGCCAAACAGACCTGGGTTCAAATCCTAGCTCTGCTATTGAGGAGCTGTTTGGCTTTGAACAATAATAGTCATAACAGCTACCACACATTGAACATGCAATAATCATCAGACATTGTGCTAAGACTTACATACACATTATCTTAGGTCCTCATCTGTTAAGAGATTTATATCCACCTTGCACTGTTGTTGCTTTGATGAGAAAGACTAGCTCGAGAACTGGCACATAGGAGGAGCTGTTATAATCTTGTCAGTGTTCATTCCTTTACTGAGCTTTTATTGAAATGGGAGCTCTGGTGGCATAGTGCCTAAGGCATTTGACTGCTAACCAGAAGGCTGGCGGTTCAAACCATCAGGTACTCCTCGGAAGGACATCTGGGCAATCTACTTCCGTAGTGATACTACTGCCTTGGAAACCCAAGGAGGGGTCACTATGAGTTGGATCCAACTTGAGAGCAGTGAGTTTTGGTTTTGGATCAGTTGAGTACCATTGAGTCAACCTCGACTCATGGCAACCCCATGTGTTTCAGAGTAGAACTGTGCTCCATAGAATTTCCAATGGCTGATTCTTCAGAAGCAGATCACCAGGCCTTTCTTTCGAGGAGCCTCTTGGTGGACTCAAACCCTCGCCTTTCAGTTAGCATCTGAGCACATTAACCACTTGCATGACCCAGTGACTTGAATACCTACTATACATTAGATGGAGTCATAAAACTGACATTTTGAAGGTAAAGAATGGTTGTATGTCATCAGTTGCACATGGTTCCACCAAATCACAGGTATTGTGATAACTCTGGGAAAGCAAAAGATGAGCAGAGGTTTCCTGCCTATGAGGTGCACCTAGATGCAGAGAGGCGATCCGTAGCATTACAGTGCAGGATGAGAGGGCCAACAATAGAGTGAGTAGTGTGAAGGATGTCCTTTTTCAGGAAAGCCTTCAGCACAGGCCTGGAGGCCTAACCTCCTTCTTCCAAACTCATTTCTTTCAGATTTTGCCACTGTTTATGCAACATAGGTCTCTAAGGCCTATGTTATAGCACCCATATGCCTGAGTGCTTGAAGGCTTTGCCATTTCCCTTCAGCAGGACCCATTGCTTGATTGAGATACAGAGTCCTTGACTTGCCAGTGGTGATGCCCTCAGAGGTCACTCAGTTCAGCTGTTCCAGGTGTGGCTGACCTTCCACACTACCTGGGAGGCAGCCATGAGAACAACGAATCCCTGTCCACCTCCAGACCTGCTAGATCTGAATCTGCAGGGCACAGGGGGGGAGTCTCTCTCTCTCTCTCTCTCTCTCTCTCTCTCTCTCTCACCCCCTTTTTTTTATAACTCCTCAAGTATTTCCTTAAGTAAACATTAGGGAGCAGAGGTTCTGGCTGGAGGTATAGATGAAACTAAGCCCCTGGTTGGCACAGTGGTTAAGCACTTGGCTAGTGTCTGGAAGGCTAGCAGTTTGAATCTTCCCAGGGGTGCCTTGAGAGAGAGGATTGGCAGTCTGCTTCCTGTTGGAAGTCCTTTGGAGGAGTTCTACTCTGATACACAAGGGGTCACCCTGAGTCACAATCAACTTGAAAACCACTTGTTATAAATGAAACAGAATTGAGAGGGATAATGACTGTTAAAGATCTGAGATCAGCCAGGGGTGGGATGGGCTGGGGTGGGATCATCATACTCTTGTCTGCACTTTGGCATATATGTGCAAATTTCTGTAATAAACAACAACTCTCCAAATTACTCTGCCCTAACAGTCCTTCATTTGGCATTTGGGAACCAAAGCTCCCTACAGCAATGCTTTTCAAATTGTAGGTCACAACCTGCATGGGTTGCAAAATCAGTTTGGGTCCCAAGCAACATTTACGTGAGTAGACTCAACCAGACTAGAATAGAATGGAATCATCTTGCTCTCTCCAATGGGTAGGCTGGCTTCCAGTTCTTTCTTCTGGGATGTTTTGCCTGTTGATTTCCACCAGGCTAGCTGCAGAAAGCATGCTTGAGCCAGAGACCTAAGCTGGATTCCTGACCTCCCCTTTGCTGGCTAATAAATTCTGATACCGCCCTCCACACACACACACCTCTCTAAGCCTCCATTTTCTCACCTGCAAGACAGTAACAATTTCGCCCTGCCTTCATGTCAGGTTGTTTTGGGAATCAGTGAACAAAATCCACTGAAGCTTTTTTAATTATTAGTTGCTACATGTCTCTGAGCATAGTGCCTAAGGCACTTGACTGCTAACCAGAAGTCTGGCAGTTCAAACCTACCAGCCACTCCTCGGAAGGAAGTTTGGGCAATGTACTTCTGTAGTGATACCACCTTGGAAACCCAAGGAGGGGTCGCTATGAGTCGGGGCCCGTCTGAGAGGCATATAACAATACCACCACAACACATGTCTCTGAAAATGCATGACATTTTATAATACATTTACAAGTTCTTTTTACCAGAATAATAGAAAGAAGGCATTGTTGCCAGCATTCACTCACTGGTGCTTCCTATGTGCCAAATACTGGGCTTTATCTTATATGATCTTCTCAATATTCCTTTGAGGTGTGTGCCATCAGTATTGCCATTTTATAGATGAGGAAACTGAGGATCAATGAGTCAAATCACTTGTGAAAGATCATGAAGCTAGAAAGTAGCAGAATTGGATGTTAAATAGAGATTTTCTTAATGTTACGCTTTCCTCCTAACTACAGGAGTATAGGGAAACGTATTCGTATAAAAGCAAACTCAGTGTATCTGGAAGGCCCAAACTGAGTTGCATTTCATTGTCACTTTGGAGTACACACTCAGTTGCCATCGAGTCAACTCTGACTCATAGCAACCCCATGTATGTCAGAGTAGAACTGTGCTTGATAGTGTTTTCAATGTCTGTTTTCTCGGGAATACAATGCCAGGCCTTTCTTCTGACGTGCTTCTGGGTGGACTTGAACTTCTAACCTTTCTGTTAGAAACACATTAACCATTTGTACCACCCAGGGACTTCTGGCATAAAACAAGAGTTTTACTTTTAACATCATCCTCTTTAATATCCTCCTCCCAGCCCCTGTAGCCTCAGCTTTGTCCCTCTACCACTTACCTCTAAAGCCAGGAGACATACAATGCATGCTTAGGTGCTCCATACTCAGAAATCAGCACTTAGAGACATTCCAACAAAATCCTGACTAAAAGTTCTTAGAAATAAATCCGATTGTATTCAGTTTCATTTTATTCATTACCTGTCCCTGTTTGTTTTGGGCCACAGTCATATACACCTCCAAATTTTTCTACTTAGAAAGTTTCTCTGCACAGAAAATGAATACTCGGTCCTTCCGGCAAGATGGTGGACTAGGCAGAAGGATTGCACAGACCCTCTTCAACAAAGAAAAGGGAAACCAATTAACACAGACACAGAAGATAATCTCGGACCC